CATTTTAGTGCTTCAACTTAAACTAAACGAATATTAAAGCGGAGATAGGTTTAGGTTTTAATATTTATATTTTAATATATTTCAGCTCAGTTTAGTTTCAGCTTATAAGATACATTATATTTTATTTTATTTCATCTTAGTTTCAAATAACAAATATGTTATTAATAGTTTTAGTTAACAAAAATAACCCTGGTTAGGACATGGTGGTCTTAGATTAGTGGCATCAAATCTTTGGAAGATATTCAGAGTTTTATTTGAGGCTTTTACTAGTACATTCTGCTAGTCATGTGTGTAAAATAACCTGTAAAAGATAGAAATTCTCATCAAAGATTTCTGCTAATTTCTTCTAATTTAATGAGTTTTTCTTATCTAAATTAGCTGCAAACTTGGCCTAATTGAGGCTGGTAGCAGACGATTGGTTGTGTGAGACTAGACTCATGTTCTTTTAGTTTAGTTTAAGTTGTAGTCTGTGTTTTGGTGTTGAAAGCCTCACAGAACGTATCACACTTCAGTGTCTTGAGGAGAAGCAGTAGGATTACATAAGTAAAGTGAGGAATCGTCACTTTGAAAGAGCTCAGCACTCGTGCCAACACCTGAACTTTAGCGCTCCGCAATAAACCTGCAGAAGATCAACACACACTCACATAAAACCCCACAGCTGCGGGCCTGTGTGCCGTGTTTACACTCTCAATCCAGCGGCTGATTTCTAATGGAATTAAACATGATCCATGGACCGCGATGGCAGAGAAATCACCCGGAAAGCTCCGTTTTGGAGCCGCAGCTCGACAGAAAGAAATGAGAGGAATTCCTGCAGCCGCTGTGATTCTAGAATATGTATCATTTAATCAAGAGAGAGATTTTTTGAGATGATTTAAAATATTAGATTTTTTGGAAACCTGAAATTTTAAACTGAGTAAATATGAGATTGTCATTATAAAATTATATAAACGTATATTATTATGATTATGCTCAAACAGCAACATTACAGACTAACTAAAGTTGAAAAAGTGAAAAAGCATAATAGGACCCCTTCAAGAAACTCACCTGCAAAGCTACCTAAAAAACTCTCCTCAAGTGCATCGAGGGCAAAAGCTGCTTTAAACGCAAAGGATGCTCACACCAAACAGCAATAACCAACAGCAGCAGCAATTCAGCAGCAGTGTAGCAGATCTGTTCCGCCAAGACCAAATACATTAACATTGTCATATTGTTGTCATGATTGAAATATTAATATATTTAATATTATATATATAAAATTCAAACATTTCATATATTAATTAAAACATACTTTAGCTTTAACAAAAAAATGTGAAAATTGTCCTCGTGATTATATAATAATAATAATAACTTTATTATTTTTATAGCCATATTGATATACATTTGCAGTTTATATCAGAATATATATATATATATTATATTTGGTTAGCTGGGCCAGTGTGTGTTGTGATTGGTTAGCTGGGCCAGTGTGTGCTGTGATTGGTTAGCTATATATTTATTTATTTCTATTTCTGAATATATATATATGTTGTGGCTTATGCTTATAAACAAGCCATTGCTAAGTAGCTGTTGGAAAATTGCTGGAATGTCTGCAAAATTCTGATCGCCCGACTTCAATACTTAGTGTTAGAGGTTTGATGAAACGAACCCTAGCATTCACACTAGCAGCAGCAGCGATGCTTGACTTGGCAAACAGTCCTAACGAGCGTCGAGGAGCGCAGATGGATCTCTCATCGTGTTTATAGAGCGCTGGGCTGCTGAGCTCCTCCTGATCTTATCTGCTCATCACGGCCCACATGCAGGTCAGACGCATCTGCCTTCATCCTTTTAAAGGCCGTCTGAGGGAAGCGATCACTTACTCTAGTGTCAACATTATGACAGGTAAGTTAGCAGATCCTGACGGGAAACTATGTTGTGTTTTGGAAACGGTGGAGACTTTGTAAGAGGGTTACGGCTGCCCAGAATGCCCAGACTCGTGAATAAAGCAAAGCAAACAAACAAAATGCTGAGATGTTTGAGAATGCAAAGTGGATGTGATGTCAAGAGCGGGTCAGGAACGGTCAGAGCCTGGAATTCATTGAGCCTTTGGAATCTCAAAAGTGCTATCTCACAGCACAAGACCTTAAATACATCAGGATACCTGGATATTGTCAGTGCTCTGGATGAGCATGCACACAAACATGCTCTTAAAGGGCCGCTACCTCTTAGATTCAGCTGTAGCCAGGGTCAGAGCTCTCAGGTTACTCAACATGACCTCCTGCCCTCCGACAAACACACACACACACACACTTGTACGTGGACTTGAGCTCTAATGTGAGAGCTTTCAGAACAGATGAGAGGAAAGGAATGTGAAAAGGTTTCTGGACTTGTTAGTTCAGCTGAATGATTTTACCGTGAAACGCTCCTGGAGATTGTGTAAGGAATTCTACAGTTTTCTAATGCCAGAATTCTGTTTTCAACATTAATAATAATCAGAAATGTTTCTTGAGCAGCAAATCAGCATATCAGAATGATTTCTGAAGGATAATGTGACACTGTGTGAGTAATGATGCTGAAAATTCAGCTTTGATCATGATTATAAATAAAATTTTACAATATATTCACATTGAAAAAACTTATTTTAAATTGTAATAATATTTCATAATTTTTACTGTATATTTGATCAAATAAATGTAGCCTTGGTGAGCAGAAGAGACTTCTTTCAAAAACATTTTAAAAATCTCACTGACTCCAGACTTTTGAATGGCGGTGCAATTTTTTAATGCATTTTTTTTTTTTTTGCATCTCAGTGTTTTTATTCATGCAATATCCTTAAATTAGATTATTAAAATAATGTAAAATGTCAAATTGTGCCTTTTTGCTGAAGTTTCAGATGTTTCTCTTGATAAAATGACCTCAGTTGATCTTGTGTCTCCTC